GATGAGCAAAAATACCAGTCTTCAAGAGCAACAGCAAGAACAATATCTCTCCTTCTAACCCACCTGCAGATGGCTTCTCACCAAACCCCCACAACGGTGCTTGGTGCTGCAGCTTTGTGAGTCAGTAGCATCCCTGTACACTTCACATTAAAACCTCGTTTACTACGGTTCCACTCACCGTTGGTATCCACCAGTCACATGAGTGTCTATAAAGTATGGTTGTAGGAACCATATAATTACTCTGAATGTAAAACTCCCACACATTTGTCATTGTAAAGAGAAGCTGGTCAGTGGAGGTGAAAAGCCAATGGCTTGTGATTTGATCAGCTGTATTTTGGTGGTTTACCAGATTATCACTGCCAGCCAGTGGGGTTGGATAAGGAATTTGCAGAAATCACTGCCTTGCAAAGGGGAGATGTAAGTGTTCTGCACTTGAGAAGTCAACTTCTAAATTACTTCCTAGGGGCTGTTTTGTTGCATGGTAACAGAATTACCACTCAAGAACTGTTCTTGTTGTAACAAGAAAGTAATTGAAGTGACTACAGCCCCTTTGAAGACTTATTTTTAGATTACAATAAGCAAGATTCTGATTAATTTAGCAGCAGGGCATCAGTGGCTATTAACATCTTAACATGAGGCGCTGGTAGATTGATAAGGAGCTAAACAGCCCCTGAATCACATATTAACAATCTGGCCATACTATAATTGAGGTTCATGTTGGGTAATTGTCAGCGTGGATGATAGGCAACACATCATCAGCAGCTATATGTCTTTTAAATGGGCAATTAAATTATTCAGAATAATAGTTAATAGTCATCAGTACATCTGAGCCACAGTCCAGTTATTCTAGGCATGGATGACAAGCATTAATTTAGTTAGCTTAAGTACAGCACTGAGCTCTGCTTGGGCAAACTCACCTGTGTTTAGAAGTAGTTTCTCAGGTGGGATCTCCAGCCCTTGCATGTTGGGATCTCTCCTCTGTGGCCCAAACGTTGTGGAGGGGGTGCTCAAATGAGCTGGGATGCAGCTGGCTTGGGCATGATAATCAAACCAAGAGCCCTGACAACATTTCATCTAGCATCTGAGCCACCCGTGTTATTGTGTAGTTTTACCTCTCCAGATGAGAGAAGGTAAAACCTGCAGTGATAACCAGTAGCCTTATTTTTAACCATTTATTTTCTTAAGTCTGCTGTGGTTGTAGAAGATTTGAGCAATTCCCCTGCAGATTTAATGTCTCTAAGTAGTTTTATATGTTGTGGGACACTGTTGTGAAATAAGAACGAAAGTTTATGAACCGTTAAATGTGTGGGAGTTGGTAACCACTTAGTTTCTCCTCCAGTTTCTTTTCATTGTTGCATTAGTAATTCTGAGCTAGTCACACAGTGGGAAATAGCTCAAATTAATTAGCTAAATTACTACCTAATGGCAATAAGACTTGATGCCACTTAATATTTCAGTGCAGACATGACAGGCAGGTTAACGTATTTAAATACGATTGGCTCCTCTTCTCTAGTGGAGTATCTTAACTCCTGTTTGGGCCATCTACAGCACTCATTGTGCTCAATTAATTCTGCCATTAGCAGTGGTCTGACCTGCTGCTAGCTCTGATAAATCGTGCAGTCATCTCCATAGCCCTCTCCTTCAGTGGTGGCCATCCTGTGGTAAGGAAGCTGAAGTACAATTTTGGTAAGGAAGCTGAAATACAATTTAAGGGGGGAGGGAGGACTCACGCACCGTGCTTTTGTACATAATTAAGTGGCATTAATGATGGCAGACTTAATTGCAACTTGGAGTTTATCAGCAGAAAGTTCCACCGGTAGCTTGCAGCCTGTGATGGCGTTGGGGTATGTGCACACGCGCTGCACAGTAGTCGAGCGGTTGTTTCAGGCTGTGGAAGGGCTCTGGCTGGAAGGTGACGATTATTCTTAGCAGCCCGTGCCTGGGAAAAGTCACGGAGTTTGCTTGCGCGCCTCTTGGTTTTCTTTTCTTTTCCCCTTTCTTTCTGCCCGCCCTCTCCCCCCACCCTCCTTGCGAAGCAACCCTTCTGGCTTTGTTGTAAGTGTGGTTTGTAATCATTGTACACATCCCAGATGGTTCATGAAAACTCTTTGAAATGCCATCTGCCAGGCGTGTGTCCAGCCGGCAGCCTGTCATTCTGCTACAAGAAAAACGGAGGCGGGTTTTCCCTTCCCCCCTGCCTTTCTGAATCACATTCAGTAACACTTGCTCAGATGTGAAGCGGGATAACAGCCTGAGCATCTGCAAGCAATCTTTGCTCTAGACAGCAACATGGAAAGTCGTCGGGTTTTTCGCCTTTGCCCAGATAAGATATCCTAACCCGTGTAGTTTTTATTTTCCCTCTGTTTGTTGCCGAGGACCGACGCCAGGTGACAAATGTTATCTCCGTGATGTAATGCTTTTCTTTTACGCGGTGACTTGGCGTTTCTAATGCATTCAGCCTGTGTTGCAGGCAGTCGCGCTGATAGCGAGCACATCTGCGATTTTTTGACTTGAACATATTCAGGAAATTAAGAACACTGAGATGAAACAAATAGATCCATTAAAATGGCTCAGAGGAATTATGGCAGAGATATAATTGTCATGTCAAATGGGCAGCCAGCACTAGTACGCTGCTGACCGCGGTTTCACCACTATGAAAATTCAGAAGGGAAAAAAAAAAAGATTAATAAATACTTTCTGTGGGAAGATATAGATAAAGAAAAGAAGAGGGCTTGAAAAGATAAAGTGAGTCCTAAAGTTCCTTGTTCTTTGTGTCTCATGAATGTGTGTTGTTAGTTACTGAGAAAAAGTATGTCCCGATCTTTGTCATTCAGCTTGCATGGCTCGGGGTGACGTTTGACTGATGCATCGGATGAGGAGCACTGCAGAGTCTAATTCTCACTTACATTGTGCTCCAGGCATGGGGCTGCTACAGCGCATCATAGGACATCCTTATTGCTGAGGCTTTGCATTCCTCTTCCTTCCCCGTTGTGGGCCTGGTTTAGGGGGACCTGGCAGTGGTCAGCAGCCACGATGCCCCGGTGAGGGTCCTCACAGCCTGAACATCTACAGTTGGTGCTCAGGGGAGAGATGCTGTGACCCTTCCTCCCGGCTGATGGGTGCATGCAGGCTCCTTGTGTGCCGGGGAGGGGCCTGAGGGGGCACTGTCTGCTCAGCTCCGCTGTCCGCCTTTACACGGACTCGCAGACACTCGAGCAGAAAGGGGCACGTGGTGCAGTTCCAGTATTTCTCTGGACTAGATCTGTGGCAGCTATGTGTCCTCTGTTACAAATTACTTGGTAAACATTCGTTGTAGTCTCAGTGTAAGGATTCAAGAACGCAAATAATGCAAAAGTGAATCCTTTCAAATAGGAAAGAGTAATTCTGCTAGTAGGATGAAGATACCCCTCACAATTTCCATCCCTTTTGTTGCTTTTCCTCCTCTTACCTTCACCCATTCACACAACTCCAAGAGAAGAAATGGTAGAAGAAACACAGGAATTTATAGACTCACTGAAGGGTGATGGTAAATAATAGAAAAGAGAGTTTCTATTTTGAAACAATGGAGGATGTTAGAGAAAGTGGATGTCTATCAAGGAAATTAATCTAGTGATAGTATTTCAAAGGTGTCACTCTGTCAAGACTGACCTCTTGAACAGTCTTTCAGATGAATAGGGAATAAACAGAATTTCTGCTTCCTTGACACTTGAGGAAAACATTTGCCAGGTGCGAGCATGGTGAATTTATGCTCTTTCAAGTTCTGGGAGCTGGTCTGTTCCCAGTTAGTTTCCAGAAGCTCAGCTTCTTTAAACTTTCCTTGGTCCTTTTGTAGAGGATTTAAGAAACTGTATGCACGGAGAAGGTACTGCCCAGGGGCCACAAGAGTGGAAATTTCTCACAGAAGTGAGAAATCATGCTTTGTTAAATGCTGGGTATGGTTTCCACGTCTCTAGGGTTATTCCCAAGCCAGCAGCTCGGTTGTGACCGCAGCACTCGGACGCCTCGACTCTCTTAACACTGGAGTTCAGTTCCCTGTACCATCTGTCCGTTTGCCATATTTAATCTCGGATGTACAGAATCCAGCCATCTCCTAGCCTCCAGAGGTCACAGAAAATAAAGGCTGTTGAACAGAAATCAATTCTAATCAATTAAGCTCTGCTCAGTGACCTAAAATGCAGTGGCCCAAGCCATCTTAGCAAAAAAGTCATGAAATGCCTCATCTTACAGCGTGCTTCCCAGGGCTGTGAACTGGGAGAAGAGTTTCAGAGCTGGCAGACTAGCAGGGATCAGAGCCCTATTCTCCATGGGTACTATTTAAATTGTCGAGTGCTAGAGAGAGAGATTCAGTGTGACTTACTACTCAAAAAGCATTTCGTGGACTGGAAGGAGTTTGCAGGTAAACTTCTGTGAGAAGAGTTTGCAGGTTGTCTCTTTAGTGAGCATGTGTGAATGGTATGTCAGAACTGTCTCACAGTACTTTTTAGTGCTGAATTTAAAAAAAAGTAGCATAAATAGAGATGAAATATTAAAAAGAAATAAGGGAGGAAAGATCTTTGTGATGGGAAAGACTGTTTGATGAGATAAAGTGATACAGAAATAGTGGAAGCTAGAAAGAAGCTTCCTTATCTGAGAAAGCAGATTGCAGTTTTAGTGAGGTTGAAGTATAAGAGACTGTGCTGATAGCAGGAAGGTAATTGCTGGCATATTCCCAGACACCAAACTCTTCCAGCTGTGCTTCTGCGTGTGGTATGAGAGATTTCCTTGCCAGAGAGTCTTTCTGAAAATATCAAAACTGTTGTCATTGGGTGGAACAACTGGTACTGCCAACTCAACCTGTGATCTACGTCTTATTTTCACATGGCCTCCTAACTTCTGAACGGACTCTTTTGACCCTGCTGTGTGTAGCTCACACTCTTTGTGATAGTTTCTTACTTTTCCTTTTTAACTCTCGATAAGAGAACAACCGTGTTGACATGTTATTTTTCTTTTCAGGCACAACTCGCCCTCCAAGAGAAGGAGAAGTGCCTGGTGTGGACTATAACTTTCTGACTGTGGAGGAGTTTCTGGAGTTGGAGCGAAGTGGGACCCTTCTGGAAGTAGGAACTTATGAAGGTATGGAGCCACAGGCAGTGAAAAAGCACTTCAATAACTGTGCCAGACTTGCATCACCCTCACTTGAGTTAACCATCTCGAGTTAGGACCTCACCTTCCATGCTAGTGCTCTGCTTCCCTTTTCTCTCTGTATCCCAAGAGGAGGAATTCCAGTATGTCTGTACTTTTGTCTTCTCAAGTTATCTACCTCGAAAGATTAACATCAGTAGGCTGGGAAAATCCAATATGAAAACCAGTAAAGAAATACTGAAATCTACTCTTTGTATCTGCTATGGCTCATCTCCTTGCTCACTTTTTCTTCCCTCCTGCCATCTCTCTTTCCTTTCATCTCCCCGAAATACACATCTTTCATCACCCAGTTGTGCCTCACTATGCAGCTACATGATGCACTGCTTTTAGCCTTTTTTATCTTCTTTATTCTTGGATAATTACTTCGAACTTGGGTCATTGTGCTGATCCTTTTTACAGCACAGCTTTACAAACAACAGCACTGAGACAGCCAAAGGGGCACTGAAATGTCACCAGGGTGAGAGCAGGAAAAAAATAGCTTTGACTCCCAGAGAAATGCGAGGCAGATTGGCCATGTTTAGGTACAAAATAGGATTTGTGTAATTAAACCTGCAATCTGTATCTCCTTTAAATTGAAAACTCCTTTTGGAGTGCCTTTTTTTATTCTTTTTTTCCCCCCTCCCTTAGAGAACGTTCAGATGTGCCTCTTGAGAAGACAATGAAAAGAAATACTTACAGTTTTAAAAGTCCTCCTGGTGTACTTCGGCTCATTCATGTCATATTTCCATTTGCAAGAAATTAAATGGGTCCTTTTGTAATTACAAGAACTTGAAAAAGCCTTATTTTTTCAGCTGTTAACAAGAAACATGAAATGTATTTAAAAATACAAACTGCACACAAATAGCCAATATCCTTTGACAAATAGTCAGCAGGTAGGAACGGAAAAGATTGTGACGTGTGGTTTTGGTTTTCAAGCTTTAAACAGAAGTTCTGAAACACTGTTGAGTTTACTTCTTTAAAAACTCCCTTGTAAGGTCACCTTTAAACCTTGCACTTATTCCCAGCTGCAGACAATTGCAGTGTCAAACTTGGTTTGCATGAAGATGCTAAATGCATAATTTGGTTTCACTCTTCCACTTCTCTGAGCTGATTAGCTCTATCGGCACCAATGCTAACGTTCCAGAGGCAGCACTTCTCCAAAATGAGCTTTTTTCTCTCCATGTTTCTAACTATAACACTAAATTAGTTTTCTTTGTCGTGGTGCTTGAAATAGATCAGTGGAATGGCCTCACCGTTACTTCCTGATCATATTCATTCTGGTGCCCTTTCCACTTGGAAGGACAAAATGGGTAACTGTCTGTAAGGTGGCTCCTGGGACAAGCTGAGAATTAGTTTTCAGGAAATGCTGTACCCATCTGGGATGGTTATAACATGGTCTTTTCGTTGCTTATGTGATTATGTGCAGTAGCAGCTAAACTGTTAAGATTTCATGGGTTGCTCTTCTGAGTTGCTGAAGATGAGGTTGACGTCTCATAAGGCTAATGCGTATTTCATTTCTGTGGGTGATAGAAGTGTCTGAATTTTAAAGAAATAATCTGTCAGAAGTGCTGAGAAGCCTCTTTCCCCGTTGACATCAGTGATGCTGGTTCATAGTGGTTCTGGAGATCTGGCCTATGGAAGGAAAAATCAATAAGAATAAAGCAAATGTTGATGATGCATGCGTGCGCATATGCATCAAGACACATTACTGTGTGATTGTAATGTGAAATAAGTAAAAGTTCATTTTTCACTTACAGCTTCAAGAAATGATTTCGCTGCCTTCCGAGATTTCTTTAATGGCTTTGTTGTGCTTTTTTTGGAAATCCTATTTTACAACTGTATTGATCAAGACAGTGTTGATCTTGATTGGATCTTGGAAGATGGTATGATTTTGACTCAATACTGCAATCACCAGCAATTTATTAGGAAAGCCAATCTGCAAAAAGAAACCCAAACAAAGTTAAGCTTCTGATGCCCAAGTCTTTGTTATTGTCCACCTTTATAGTCTTATATTACCTTAGTCTTTAATTATAATTTCATTTATGCTGCATTTTGCTGGCTTCTTTGCTTTTTTTCTTTAAACATGCCACCATGATGAAGTTGATTATATTTTTAACCCTGCTAGCGATATCTTATTCTAAACCAGAGGGATGGAATCCAACAAAAGCAAATAATCTATTATTTCCCTCTGAAGAACAACAAAATAATACCTTTAATGTATGGCCTTTATCCTTGATAATGCTCCTTATTGTAGTGAGTAGGAATCAAAGAATTGTTGATGAAGAAAAGGGGGATGTTATGAAATGGAGAGTAGTGATGATGAACAGGGTAGTTTTTGTGTGCCTGGCAGCCACAAGCTCCTGTGGCTCAAGCAGGCTGGTGGACTGGGGTCAAGGTGGTCCCCAGGTCTCTTCTGGCCCTTAATTTGTCAGCATCTGCATGTGATGGAGAAGGAGATGGGTGTACGCTCAGTGTTTCTGTGCTATGTTTCAGCAGCTGGTGAGGAAGTCTGACCCAAATGATGAAGATAAAAGTTTTAGCGTTACTGGATGACATTTGTTTGCCTCTTGAAGGCATAAACAGGGAGCAGTCAGAAGAAGAGTAGCACACAGGACTTTGATACAGATACTATTGATTTGGGAGGAATAAAGAACAAGAGAACAACTGGAAACCATAAAAGAGTTAGGAGTGTATCAGGTTTGGAAAGGACAGCCTGGCTTTTGAAAGTTGCTCTGATTGCAAAGAGAGGAACTGCAAGCTGAGTAGGACAGAAAAGGTGTTCTCTACCTACTGGGCTGCAGAATGTCATTTTTATGTCTTCTGGTGCACTGCAAATAGGTTCCTCTGGGCAGTTTTTGACTCCCATCCTGGTGGATGCAGAGAAGAGGGCATGGCAGCTGCTTTTCTGGTCACCTGTCACCTCCTTGGTGTGTTCTACACCCAAAATGCTCCAAAAATTGTAATTTGTTGGGAGAGGCCACTTGTAAGCCTTAATTCCTGAGATTTTCGGTTCCAGTTTTAACATGATGAATTTTAAGCATAACGCCTGGAGACTTCTTTTTTTGCCATAATGGAAGCTACATCTTTATTGTAGGAATCCAGGAGCTGGAGCTGAAGTCCTGGAAGGCTGTGATGCTGCACCAGTGCTGGTGCTCTTTGTACCACGTACTTGCTGGTAAAGCTGCACACAACACACTCAAGCCAATTAGTGATTCCCATTGACAATACTCATTAGGAAGGAAAAATCTTTTTTAGGCTGCGCATTGTCTAGGCTTTCTAGTAGATAGGAAATCACGATAATTGTAATCTCAGGCATTTATTGACTGCTCCTTCAGGGCATAAAATACTGATGGATGCATGGAAGGAATTGTGTAGGTTACTAATTATTTAGCAATTAACTCCCGGGTTTGAATTGCAACCTCTCACAGGGACCCTAAGGGAGATCTGTTTTGAGCAGAATCACAACTTCTAGGTTTTATTCTCTTTTCTTGCCCAGCTGCTGAGTGGCCCTGGGCATATCAGGTAACTGGTCTATACTTCAGGTTACTGGCCTGGAGAATATTAAAACAACACTTACTTCTCTCTTCATTAATATTTCAGCAGATATCCCGTGCCTGCAGTTATCTGCTATTACAAATAGGAGGGAGAGGGTGGAAGCGATGGTATTTCAGAGGGCTGTGCTGAACTGAGCAGCAGAGATGGGTGCTGAGCAGAGGCACAGGGGGACACTAGCACGGTGGCTGAATTTTGAAAGGGGACGGCTGCGTCGCCAGGGTCTGGCGAGGCCGTGTTAATGAATGCCTGCCCAGCACTTAGTGATCCTCAAAAGAAAAAGTGCTGCACTTTATAACATGTGAAGGGTTATTACATTATAGCGTATTATTGTCAAGGCATCATCTTTCATTCTTAGGACAAGTGTTACGTGATTGCCAAGAGAAGTAATAAGTAATCTGCATTAGTCTCATGACTAAGATGTAATGGGGTGACTTGCTAACGTTTTTAAAGTGTATAAAACTAGCTACTGTAGACAGGGCCTCCGCTTGTGGTACTTAATGAGTGTAATAAATTACCTCAATAGTGCGGTTAGAATTTCAGCAGAAGTAGAGAGGTGTATTCGGCAACATGCTTCAAATCAAGATGCCTTAGCCTCATTTATCTGATGTGCTAGCTCTCCTTTGGTTTCTCTGCGGTAGTCCAGCTGCTTTAGCAAAACGACTGGATTCCCCTTGCTGCTCTTCTGGTGTCTTCGCAGCCTGTGGGTCTCGCCGACTTGGTAGAACCTCGAAAGGAGAACTGTGTCGGTGGCGTGCAAAACATGATGGGAAGATTGGACGAGTAAGGGTAGCAGATGCTGGGGATGCCCATGCAGCCGAACAACATGTTCCACTTAATAAGATAAGATCTGCTTATTATTGTCTCTGTACCACAGATTGACTCAATAAATCATAATGGCTCCTTTAGCACCATTGCAATGTATCATGTCAAATAACCGCTTATAAACATCTGTGCTCAGCGGAAAGATTCCTGGGCTATCTTGGAGGTTTTTCTGCTTGCTTTCTTTTTTCTTACTCTTTAAAACCCCGAGTGAAAAAAAAACCAATCCAGGTTCTTATGTATGCACAAGATTATCGGTGTTAAGTACTAGTGTACTGGTGCCACCTGACAGAATGCTTCATTCTGTAAACAGCTAAAGTGGTAGCTGAGTAACTCTCTCTAAAAGCAAATTATAAAATATTTGATGGGTTTTAGAGTGATTTTCCTATGGTATTTCTGATTGGCTTCTCTCTGTCCGCTGTCAATAAAGCATTTTTTTCAGTTTGAGCTCTGTCTGCAATTGTTCATTAGCAGTCCTGCTTTTCGCTGATTTGATGCATTTTAAAACACAGACCTTGGGAGAAAAGGTTATTTCCAGACACCTCTGGCAAAAAAAGAAACGATGAATTAGTTGCGCT